GAATATCGATGTGTGGTTGTAGGAAATAGACTATTTAGCGCTTATATCGAACAAAGAAAAGTTGTTTACTAGCGTGTCGGCTCGCTCAAGTCTTACCGCCAGCAGCGCCGGCGGCGGACGCAACAACCAATCAGAGATGCGAAATGCCGACACGTGACGTGGGATTTGCATACAGGCGCGCGATGCACGAAATAAGTTTTTGCGTCAATATTCAGCGCCGTGTTTCAAGAGATTAATACCGGGAAACAATTTTTTTCTTGTTTTTGAACGCATAAACAATGGATTTAGGCTGATCTAGTATGATTCAGGGTTATTTTTTTACCTGTCATGGCCAGATTATCTAAAGATGTGTGTACAATCTACAGAAATGTACATCAGGTCCGGTCATCCGGTTTTCACGTTTCGGTTTTTTGGACTCGGTTCTTGAATGTTGTTCCGGTCCAAACCGGTCCGACTGAACCGGTACCCACCCCTAGGCTTGAGTATAATGATGTACATGTTGGTATAGTTGTACTTACACCACAGCTCATAGTAGTAGGTGCAACAGCCTCCATCTCCACAGCAGTGTCCAGTCTCACACCAGTACCCTTCCTTGTCCTGCTTCTTACAGAACTCCCTTGCCTGGAGAAGTTACAAATTACAGTTAATGAATTGTAAAATTAGCACCATTGTTCTATTGTATCACATATTTTTGCGCCTGCCTCTAGTCTCCTTTGCAGGTTTCACAAGTCAGGATTTTTTGGGCTGATCATGTACCATTCTAATGGCAGGCTGGATACAGTCTGACCACTAGCCTTGCCATTTGTTACGGAAAATCTGCAGGGAGATTACTGTAAAAGAGGCTGTGATTGGCTGACAAGGAAAATGTTATATTTTTATTCTTAGCCTGACTAAGTGATTTATCCTATCCATATATTCTAAATAAGTCAAAGAAAAGTAAGACAACTACTGAACTACATTACATCACAAATGAGTGGTTGTTTTCCCAATGATATCATCTTACTTGACCCTGAGGTAGTTTGACTTGTCAAAGGGATTATAAATCTGGTTGGACATGCCCAGACTTGAGCCTGTTCAAACTTCTGCTTGGGTCCTTGTCCTCTTGCCAGATGATCTCTAGTCATTCATTATTGTACTACAACATATATCATATGAATATTTTTGTACACATTTTTGATACACATGCAGAATCTGTTGGGTGTATAAAATTAATTTGTATTACTGTAACAGCAAGAATCCTAAAGGAACAAATTATGAAATCAAAAGTTGTAGACCTTGGAGAATTTGGTTCAATAACTTGCGCTGACTGACTTGTTATTGTGGTCATGCATGTATGGATACAATGTCTGCTGGCAAAAACTAGGTCACAAGATGGCCCTACATTATGTTGTCCCTGCTTTGGGAGTACTGGGTGGAGCCATATCAACTATAATCCTTTGCTCTAGAATTTGGTTATTTCTGTCCTGGTTATGTCATTGGTAGGTAATGCCATACTGGACTGTCTAGACAACAAAATTTGTCTTTTTCCTAAGAAAAAATTGCCATTGTGGTTGCTAAAATACATCACCATGCCGCTGCTCAACAGTCCGACAATCATCAAGCATAATAGCGTGTCAGTTGTTTTTTTGATATCATAAACTTTTTAAAAAACTTTTTTATGACTAATTCTTCCAGGGTTCAGACAAGAAGTTCATAATGAGAAAGTGCAAACAATGTACACGCAATTCAGAACTGATATTACACTATCTGAAGACGGAAAATATTGCAGCTGTTGCGTCTCATAATATACTTGGTCTGGCCTTGATTGAAACAAACACATTTTTACAATTTCATCATCCCACTGTTTTCCTTCCAACCTTCACCCGGGCACCCCGAGGCGGCTTTTACTACTACACCATGCAGAGATGATGCAACCGGGGCCAACGCTGAAATCCAACACCTTTGTTGCTATGCTCGGGCCGAAAAACAGGCCTCCAAAAACGCCAAAATAACATCATAAACCAGTACACATCGGAAGCCTTCTTCCAACGCAGTTTTCCCATTTTAAAAAATCACGAAATGTCGTTAGAATAGTTTGATTTGATTGGAAGGGAGGGTGAAATTGACAGGCGAACAAAGGGGTTCCCCGGTCCCCATAATATTTAATAGCCTAACCGGTACGATCCGGATTGCCCAATGTTGTACAATGGACGTGCTAGCTGCTCGTCACATAGGCACCGGTCTACTATAATTTGTGCGACAAACAGCACAGTTAATTTGATTTTCATGGTTATTATCAAACCTTACCAGCAGGATATCTGAGGGAAAATCGTGCTACGGTTTGGTAACGCTAGCTGTCAGTTGCCATAGCCTGCTCAAACGGTAAACAACAGATCAGTTGCGCAATCACAGCAGAAGTCCATAGAAATGGTAAGCGAGCGGAGTAAAATATTAGAAAATGCCTATTCCTAGAAAATCTATATTCATATTTTCATTGCCACTGACTTTGAGAGGTAGTCTAGCTACCATGGACAATTTCATACTTAAAATTTGTAAAGGGGGGTTTGGGTTGTTTACGGGTACACCGCACTGCAGGGCGACCATTTTAAAATTTTGTTCCGTTGCAGGATCGAACCATATGAGATAACTTGCCCTTTTGCGTTGCCCCTTCACAAGATGGAAAATAGTTCCAATTTTCAGGACATGTCTACCAGAACCAAACGCACTACATGCACATATGCACATACCTGTCCGTGGTCTACAGCACCAAGAAGACCCATCGCTGCTAGGAAGATCACCTCTGCTCGCTGAAACAGTCCGGCCATCTTCTGCAAGCCTGAGCGAAGGACCAGCTGGGACACGCCTTCGATATTTGAAAGCCAAAATAGACGTAAACAACTCCATATATGGGCAAGCGCATGCTAATCAACTCCAAATACGGCCAGACATATGCTAATAAGTTACCAAATATAGATGGACTATGCTAATGATGCTCATATATGGGGACAGCCGCCGCCCAACAGTCCGACAAGGTGATATCAAGCAAAAACGATCCAGCCTGTTTCAACTGGTTTTAGAAATGGTGCAATAAATATTGCCTACATTTCGGTTGCTTTACGTGTGGATTACCACGAACTCCTAGCCATCCAGCCATGGCATGCCATGTGCCCGAGTAAAAACCATCTAACGTTTACATATTCCCCGTCATACATTGCAGGAGTGCGCATTTTTTCTACAGGACGTGTGCGTAATATTTATAGTTTCACTCGCAACAGGTACTTACCGTTGCATAGAAATAAGCAACCACCGAGGGGAACTCCCAAGGAATGCACGTGCGGACGTGTCGCCAGATTGTGCAATGTCAGCCGAGAGGTCGGCCGTTTACCTGTGCAAACAAACACCTTTGTCACACCTGTTAATATGCAAATCACCATAGGGACGCAGACGTCAACTTACAATGTAGGGAGAGACGCCTGGTACCGGGCTTTCACCATGCTGTTGAAATAAGACCAACAGGAATAGAATAATGCCATTTGGACACGAATTTTAATTAAATTTCAAAGGATAATTTTGACTTGGTTTCAAATTGCCATATCCAGCTTTGTTTTTCAATCAAATTTTGTTCGTGATCCCTGTTTATCTTCTTAGTCTAGGCTATTGGTGCAAGAACCTCTGAAGTCAAATCATGGTGTAAATTTGGCATACCATTCTATAATGTGTACAACCAAATAGAAAACATTCTAGGTGCATGTGGAGCTATTACATTAGAAGCCTTGCTTTCACATGGCAACTGTAACGTTAGCTGCGCAACATATTTTTTTTCTTTTTGCTTGGCATGAGTACTTTTTTTATAATGTTAACGTTACCTTCTCTTTCGTCCACTCCACATTGTGACAAATATAATTTTGCCCTCTATTTGCAAAGAGGGCAGCTATTTTTTTTTTAAACTTTGGTCAAAAGGCTGTATGAGAGAGCTAGTGTCTACATTATCTGTTAATGAATATAACGTTTTTAATAGATTTTAGACTGAGTTTGTATCAGCTTATGACACAACGTCATGTTCGTAACGTTACATATTGGTATTTCGGTATTCTCTATATCGTATATGCCTGATAATGATGATGGTGATGATATGCCGCCAAGGAAACTTCTCATCCCGACCAACATCGGCGTTGTCTCGTGTATTTCATTTGCCTTCTGCATTTTCTAATCCAATGGTTCAAATTGGGTAAGAAAGGTCAAACCAAATTGGCCGTCGAAGCTGCAAGCATTACTCCAGTCGATCTTCGTGTCTTAGTGTATGGATCGTAAATTATTCCTCTGCTACCAATGGTTCGTTGCCAATTTGCTTGGTTGCGGATGCCTTCTTCCAATGGGGATTCCGTATTTTGACCACTGCCCACTACCCGCCCCCACAAACCACACCCCCATCCTGACCACCTCCCAAATCTCGCACAGAGTCTTTATTTCACGAAATCTCGCGAGGAAAAAGCAATCCAACATGGCGGCTGCGGCGGCGAAGTTGGGTGGTGTTTTTGTTTTGATTTTTATTTTCAACCCCGCATGGACTAAAATAACTTCTAGGAAGCAGTTGTATAGACCTCAAGTTGTTGAGAGATTCACTTCAAAAGACAGTGATCGTCTATATCCTCACAGATCAGAGAGAAGTACAAATATAGGTAGAGTGAAAAGCACTAAAACTCGACTTGAAAGCAGTGTTTTCGTTCTGGGGAACAACAGAACGAACCACAACCAAGCGATTATCCACTGGTCGGGAGAAAACAGCGAGGTAAGGGTTTCCAACTTTTCTAAGAAATATCCTCGGAGTATATATCTGTTGTGTGCCGAGTGCTTTTCAGCAAGCAAGATCGGTACATCAAAATCTGACCTGACTTTGCTGAGTAAATTATCATATCAGGTCACATGTTTACAATATATTACAGTATATAGTAATCAAGGGACAAAACCTAGTGAGAAAACCACCACGAACTTGAACGAAGAGGAACCCAGAACTCTAGGCAAATGATGCAATGTATTAATTATGTATGATTTGATTATAAGAAAATGGATGATTTATTAATCTAATATTTAATCTTTTTGGTGTTGTGGGTCTGTAACACGTTAACGGGCGTTACAATCTAATTGTAAAAAGGCTTTATAGATTGTTAATTTTTTGCTTGCTGTCACATGTGTCCACCCAGGCAATATTTGTCCTGACAAGAAGAATAGCCTATAATCAGTCGGTGATGGACAGCACGTTATGGAGGTAAGTGTTAGTCTATGTGTCTGTACTGTACTGTACATTCATTTTATAGCGACACATAAGGTTCACAATATCTTCGAGTTTGCCCTTGAAATAACCATACAGCAACACAAGTTTTGTGAATACTGGCCCCTGATCTCAGGTGTGGCTGGGGTCATTTAAACTGCAGATTTTAATTACAGGGTACCACAAATATATCAAGATCAACAGTATGTCAAAGAACAACAATAATAGCAAATTTCATTGCAATGAAGCAGATTTTCTACCATAATTTGTGGTTTTGATTTTGATGATTCTTTTCTTAATGATATTGAAACATGTGCAAAGGGGTTACCATGGTGATAGTCTGGTTACACCTGTTTTACTTCTTGCCCCTGGGAGTTGTATTTTGCCTGAGGATATGCAACAATATGCAGTGCTGTCCTAGTGTCTTTAATTCTGTTGGCAGGAGCAGCTGTAGTAATCATGGCACCCTGCAGGTGTGATCAGATCAGAGCTTTAAAAACATGAATAAACCAATTATATAAAATGGGATGAGGACAAGTTAGACCATTGTCAACTCCATGTTTCTCCAAACCCAGATCAACGGACGATGGCCACCATTTTTCCAATGAGACCAGCAAGTTTGCCACGGGAGCTGTGTTATCACACTACTACGTCTGTCCTATTAACAAGAACAAGGTAGGGTTCTACCAAAAATATGGTTGACAACTTGACAAATAAGTAGAAAAATTACAGCTGCTTTTTTAGCACTTCTGCAAATTTGTTCAAAATTAATATTGGAAGTTTGGGCATGTCAGGCCTTGGAAAAAATGTTGTGTATCCTGTTTCCAGACTGACCCTAGAAAAATCTGCCAACCCTAGCCTTTTTTTTTTTGGTTGGACCTCTGCAAGGGACATAAATTTTTGGACCTGATCAACTTTTTCTATTGGGACATGATCTGACACCTGAGTGATAAAACGTTGTACAATCCGTTTTCCAACATTGACATTGAAAATATAAGTGTCCTCATTTACTTTATTAAACTTTGTAACTAACTTTCATATGAAGCAGTAACTTCTTCCTTATCATTCCACCTGTAGCTGATAGTGATCTCCAACAACAAGTCACTGTACTACACTGATGATGAAGGAGAAACATACCATCTGGTCCAAAACCTGCAGTTCCAGCCTACTGATCTGACGTTTCATCCCAGCCGGGATGACTGGGTGCTAGGCTATGACTCCCACTCACAGAAGGTAACAGGGACACAATGCACCTGAAAAAGGGCGTCAGAAGGTTTAGGCCATTAATATGTCAGTGTGGACAAAGACATACTTGATATACTTAGGACATGTGATACATGATGTTACATATATACATGCATTGTGGCATCCTGTTGCCTGGGTTTGAGTCCCTAACATGTTCCAGGTTTTTCCCCTTGCAATTTGGTTTACTTATTGCACTTACTCCCATTCATCCAAATTACCTGTAGAGTGGTTGGTTGGTAGGTGACAATCATGAAAAGATATGTTGTGCATATATTTTGTCTTTTCTACGATGGTAGATGTAATCATTTCCATTTTTACATGTATAAATACTGTATACATATGTAAATAGTGATCATAGCTATTTACCTACATATATGGTGAGTTTACATTGATATATACTGTATTATATTCCCTTTGTATAGCTCTACATTTCCATGAACCTGGGACAACAGTGGAACATTCTTCACACACATGTAACAAAGGGACACTACTTCTGGTAAAATCTTCATTGTACAGTATTGTGAACTTCATTGTTAGTTGTTGTATGGGCTTCCTACCACAGCACAATGTTTGTATCCACAATGCTGTGCTCAAGCGCACTTTGGCAGTATATCCAAGATTCCAGTTGAGCCTCAAAAGATACTTTGTAAAGGTACCCTAGCAAAGAGGGCTTGTGTTTATGACTTTTGTAAGGAATCATACCAAATTTGAATATGTAAGAAGGTAATTCCGAAGAAACTGCATGATATATGTAGAGTATGAAATATATTCCTTCTTACTGTGAGACTCTGTATCCATGAAGTCTTCCTGAAGGCTCTCCATGATTGTAGAATCTGTATCTTAAACACCGTTCCAGGAGTGTGAAAGACATTGACAAGGATGATCACCTGGTCCATATGGAGGTGTATGACAGTCATGCAGGTGAGGTTTGGCATCTTACATTCATTAGATCAGTAGAAGAAGAAATCTTGTGGCTCATTGATAAAAACATGATAGCCTTGCATCACAAAGCTGAAATGTGTAGTATCTTTCATAGTGCTGACAAATTCTTAGTAGTTGTATGGATAATATTCTCCCATCATACTTCCTTTATGTCCAGGTGGATATCTGTATGTAAGCTGCCTCATTCCACACTGTTCCCACAAGAATGCTCACCGGGGCCTGGGTGCCATTGACAAGAATTCCTTACTGGTTCAGGATGAGTACATCTTTGTTGAGGTACACTTACTTATGGTCTTAAACCTTCAGCATGCTAAGGTAGCCATTTGTCACCAACTTGACGTTGGTTATAGGGTTAGGCAGAAGGTTAAAGAGCTATTTTTATAATTACACTACAGATATTTTCCACTCGTGTCAGCAGAAAATTTTTCTAGTTCTATTTCTGTACTAATAGTTTTGCATCCATGTGTTGCTCAATGATTTCCTTTCTTTTACCTCACAGAAATCTGCAGTTGAGGTGACCATGTATGTGTCTTGGAAGAGAGGTGACTTCCAGAAGGCAGTTTTGCCGAGGAATGTAAGAGCTGAGGTAAGATGTTTGGCATATTCTTGTCTTGCAGTAAGTAACCTTGTCACATATAGCCAATCATGGCCTTCTGACCTCCCCCAGACCTTGATCGGGAGCAAGGACCTCTGTGGTAGGAATTTGGACAACAAGTATGCTTACTACTAGTCTTCCAAAAAATTTTGAGAAATCAAAGTAGGGAAAGTCATTTTTTTCTTAGATGGAGTCAGAGTTATAATAGTATGGAATCCAAGTTACATGTACTCCCAAACATGTACTCATTACGTATATCAAGTACTGTTACCATAACAAAATGGATGCATAAATCAACCACCCATATTCCCACTCCCTGTTTTGTGGTAGGATTTCCACATCCTCAGCACAGATGAGGAGCAGGTGTTCTTGGCAGTGAACCACCGTGACAACCTGACCAGTCTGTACCTGTCTGACACCGCAGGGGTGTACTACGTCCTCACACTGGAGAATGTGGTCGCACTGGCCCTTCCCAGTGGCTTCCTGGTGGATGTGCAAGAGGTATGGTAACTCTGTGCAGGGTTGATTTGTTGTGTCGTGTTGTGTTGTGTTACGTATGTTACAATCTGCTATAACTTTTATCAACTTTGTACATACTTCCATCAAAGAATGTTGATGATTTCAAGTGTTTTGTGTAGACTGGACCTTTTGATAAACTACATGTAGCTGTTTCCTGGCTAAATAAATGAATGAATGTGAAAATGAAAATTCAAAATGTGCTGTGATGTATCTAAATGTGTTACATTGGTGAACATTTTAGACAGTTGTTGTATTCTTCCATCTTTCTGCTTTTATAAAGGTGAAAGGCCTGAAAGGAGCGTTTGTGGCAAACCAGCACACACCCAGGAGAAACCCTCGGACTTTCATCACATGGGACAAGGGTGGGGAGTGGAGCCTGGTGCAGGCACCAGAAAATGACATCCATGGACAGCCTTTTAACTGCACATTGGTATGGCTGTAACCTCTGTTAACATGTATCTGCCACTTTGAAAAACAGCGTGTCTGAGAGATCTCTTAGTGCAGGTTTGATTTGGAATGACGTGATGTCTAAGTATGACATGATGACCTTTTTCTTTCTCTTCCCAGCCATCTTGTTCGCTCCACTTGCACATGGACTTCAGCAAAACCATTTACCACATTCCCTCCGTCATGTCCAGGGAGTCCTCTGTGGGCCTGGTCATGGCTCAAGGTACCCACTGTGGAATTTTCTCTCTACCAGTATTTTCTTACCCTCCCTCATGAGGAAGCAAAATAGTCAGCACAGTTGTTGTATGAATGTTTCAGCATAGGACAATATTGGAAAACGGTTTTCACAGTTGAGCAGTAATATGTACTTGTACATGTTCGAAAGTTGTCTCTAATGATACCAATATTAGGTTACTAGCATACAATATATATGGCATTGCCCTAACCCTAACAAGCCTATACATTTTTGTACAATAGGGAGAATATATAAATTTTGAACACTCATAACATATGATATTGGTGAAGCTTCTGTAAAAGATCTGTAGAGATTTTACATTAGTCTTACATTTTCAGTATTGTTTTGACATTTACATGTATTTAAATCTATTTGTAGGTAATGTTGGGGATGATTTGGACTCCATATCATCTGATGTCTTTGTGTCACACAATGGAGGACTGACCTGGGATCAGGTGAGTCGGAACATGAAATATATGTAAGCAATTTTGACAATATGGAGGTTAACAGAGAGTTCACATGAAAGAGTTGAATCATCATGGGATTTTATTTCAATAAAGAAACTAAGTTAGTACCCAACCTCCTGATGACTTCAGAATTGATTCATCTTAAGTTTACAATCTCATAGAATTCTCATTGTGATTTGTTACATAATAAATATCAATCTTGTATGGATACATATGGGTAAACATCATCTAATAGACGTACAATTACATGTACCATGTTGTCAAATTGTTTTAGGAGAGACTAGGTTTGGTAACATTGGCATGCTTAATATTTGTTGCAGGTATTGGAGGATCGTTACTATGTGGTGTTTACGGACCATGGTGGGGCAATTGTAGCAGTGAAGCTGGAGTCTGGCAAGCCAACTGACACCTTAGAGTAAGTTCTACACGTGTACTTCATCTGTGTGCTCTATTGTTGATTTCCTGAAAAATCAGAGAACTGACAAATTAAATAGTTTTGATCTTGTGTTGATAAGAAAGAGATAAGGGCTAGAGTGTGTGTTGTCAGTTGCAGAGAAAGCGTTTTCTGAAACGTCAGAGAAACATCCAGCATATCTTAACCTTTGATTTTGATTGTGTCTGTGTATTCCACAGGTACAGTTGTACAGAAGGGCAGAAGTGGGAGTCCTTCAAGTTCACAGACACCCCACTTCTGATAGACGGGGTACTGAACGAGCCAGGGGAGGCCACGCTCATCATTCTGTGAGTAATCACCGTGTGTGGCTGTGTGATTGACTCAAAATCTGAAGGTCCTGAGTTTTAACCCCTATAGTCCAAGTGTTGTGCCCTTGAATTGATAAGGTGATAACAGAGATATGAGTTTTCCAAACATTTTGTGTTAAGTTCAGTATTTAATGCTTTTATCATAATTGTGTCAATGAACTAACTTAAAAGTTTTCCTCCCAGGGTGTTTGGTCACCTCCAGGCCGACTCTCGCTGGTACGTGGTCAGACTGGACTTTCGCTCCATTCTGACCGCCAAGTGTACTGACCAGGACTACACCACCTGGACACCCAGTGATGAGGTGGGATGTCCACTTTGTTCTATTCTTAAAAAAGTGAGAGTGACCTCAAACCAGTTTAGCTCAGATAAACTTAATGAACAGCTGAGGTACTCTTCCACCGGTCATGTCAGAGATGACAGCCGCAGTATATACAATGTACCTGTAGCAGGGAAACTCTCCCTAGCTCTTTTTATGCTATACAGTGAACAGTGATAATCATGGTCAAAATTACATTGTGGGTTTTGATAATAGGATGCATACATTGTAGCTCTTTATTTTCAAGTGGTGAGTGAAATGCTTTACACTTTTCATTTTCAAACAGTAGAAGCGTGAGCATAACATGAGGCTGTTACTAAAAGTTTGTATTTTGTGTTTGCACACAGCTGGGAAGACAGTGTTTACTGGGTGAAAGGAAAGTGTACGAGAGAAGGAAGGTCGAATCAACGTGTTACAACGGGAGAAACTACGAAAGAGAAATCAACACAACTATATGTCAGTGTACACCAGAGGACTTTGAGTGGTAAGGATTTTTTGTACTCAAGTTAAGACATCTCTTAATGAAGTTTGTTGATATTCTTATTATTGACCTTGGGACACCTTTGACCAGTTGCTGACATCACACTTAGACTTCAGATTGAAAGTTTGGTGTTAATTATAAGCACTTCACTTTTGTGTCTGGCAACTTCGATATTTATGATGTCATTTACCATCACTGATGAACTTTCATTCAAATTGTTATTATCTGATTGTGTATTTTTTTTCTTATGTTTCAGTGATTATGGTTTCCAGCGGTCCAGTAGTAACAGGACGGTGTGTACTGTTACTGACTGGTTTGACCCAAACCAACCCCTGGGAGAATGTCCGGAGGGACAACACTTCTCCAGAAGCTCTGGGTAGGCACATACATGTACATTACCACCTAAAGCTTCTTTAGGTTTTGTCAGCATTCTAAAGACTTAATTAATGATAGGTAACTGTAAATATTAGAAATCATTTTGTAGAAATAATTCTGCTTGCGAAGTCCAGTCCATCATCCCACAACATCATATAGTTCAAACCTTGAACTGACTTGTTATCATTCACTTTTACCAGGTATAGGAAGATTCCATCTGACAATTGTACAGGGGGTGTTACGGACCAGTACAAGCCCAGACAGGTGCCGTGCCCACTGCAGAAGGCAGAGGGGCTGCACCTGACAGCTGACGTGGGACCTGCTGCCCCCACACATACTAATGTAACCTTCCACCTCACACAGGACAGGGTAAGTGCTATTATATGGATGTTTATCTAATACGCACACCTGTCAAATGATGTAGGTATAGGTCTGGACTCGAACATCCAGTGTACATGTAAGGTTATAAAGGTACAGGTCCAGTATTCAGACTCAGTCACTGATGAAAGATAGTGTGATGCTACCTCATACATAAGACTCTTTAGAGAATTTTATCCATATGCTTGATTTATTTTGTATTTACACATGTTTGGTCGTTTCAGGGGTCTAAAGCCAGCACCGTCTACACATGGGACTTTGGGGACGGTGTCGTCACCTCCCAGCCAGGTCTGATGAACAGCTCCACCCAGGTGCACAGCTACGACACGGCGGGAACGTACGCGGTCTCCGTGTCAGCCAACAACTCCGCAGGCTGCACCTCTACCAGCATCTACATCAAGGTCAATGGTAGGTCAATTCGGATGACCCTATGTTCCGAACATGTCAGAACATAGGGGAGGCTTAGAGTTAGGGACATTGGAACATAATAGTGCAACCAGTAAATCATTTGTGAGGAGGATGGGTGCATGTTTTGACCTGTTCAAATGCACTTCTGCACTTTGGTTTAACCCTAGTTCAGTTTAATTAATCCTTTACAAGGTGACACCAGCGTTTCCACATGTCCCTGTCAAGCATGACGGGATGAAGCTCGACATCCCGAAGTCCAGTATCCTCCTCGCTTACTGCCTTAAGTGTCAAAGAAGGACGACCAGGTTTATGACTCTCATCCGGTTTCCAAAGAAGAACTAAGCCACTTATTTCCTTGTGACACATGACCTGCCTGTGACCTAAACTCAGAGTGTTTTATTTCTCTGTCGACAGATAAGATCACCACCCTGAAGGCCTGTGCACCATCAGCCATGTGTGTGAACAAACCCTGGAACTTCACTGTAACCCCATTGGCTGGGGATGGTCATGTGCCAACAATCAGCAACCAATCAGGGCTCGGACTCATCCACTATGTGTGGGACTTTGATGATGAAGAGGTGAGAAGAGACTCTCATCTTCTGCTTTTTTAAGATGACAGTGAACTAGGGCTGATTTTTAAGACTGTTGGGTTGTATATCAGGAGGTAAACACAGGAAGAGAGGGACAAAGGTCTATACTTTTGTAGTCCATGAAAGAAGCTGTTGCTGGTGTCTTGAGACTGATATTTGGACAGTGTAATGATGAAACCCAGAAGAAAACCCAGTGTCTTGCTGAAAAGCTCTCAATGTTGATGTTACTTTTACTTGATGTACTGTATAGGAGACAGACACAAAGACCCCTCTCTTGTCCTGGAAGCCATCCATGATGCACACATATAAAGAGACAGGTAAATACAGCTGGACAGTGGAAGCCATTAACCCTGTCAGCAGGATACAACAAGAGGAGGACATACAAGTCTATGGTAGGTTCATTACCCCTGGTACAGAGGTACATTTGTATTGTGTTAAAGTGGAATATGCATAGAACCACTGAGAAATGGACAATAATGAATAAAGCTAGAAATTCACAACAACTCTACCTCATTTAGGGGAAAGATCTTTGGTGTTTTTATAGCAAGTCACTTCTTTTCAGTTTTGTATGCTGTTCACGTCTGTAACAGTTACATCCTCATGTCTCCACCTTGTCAGATATCCTGAAGACCCTGGAGCTGTCCTTCACAGCCACATTAGACATGGCCAACAAGGGAACAGCTCAGTGGAGACAGCAATTTGGTGACCTGTTAGAGAAACAGCTGCAGGAGGCAAGTGGTTTCCCTTCTTACTTAGAATGTAGGTTTTGGGTTCGAATCCCTAACAGGTCCCAATGACATGATTTCTGCACCATGTGTAGGTGCCGAATGTTCTGACATGATTTCTGCACCATGTGTAGGTACTGAATGTATCTGATGCCCACCTGGCTGTGACAGTGTTCCCCTACATCCCCACACGGGTGCTGGTGTCTGTGTTCCCACCCTGTAACCTCACCGCAGAGCTGTCAGTACCGAGGGAGAACAGCGCAGAGGCAGCAAACTGTGTGAATGAAGTATGTTTAATGGGTAAATTAATTACTGTACAGAAAGTGTTCATACACTTAAACCTGGTCAGCCAACCACCTTCAGTGATAAGCCACCTTAAACAGTTGCATCCAATTTTACATCATAAGTTAAGACTCACTGTTAACAAACAACTGTCTTAGACAACCAGCATCCACTTGCAGTCCCCATGGGGCATTTATACATGTACCTCAGGCAACACCTGTCCAATTTAATTTCTTGGTTAACGGATTCGCCCGCTTCATTTTTTTCTGATTTGCAAAAAAATTAAAATTCAGAATCAACTGCTAAATGCTCTAAATTTGCCCTGAACAGTTGAAAACAGTCCTTTTCTTCTTAGTTGTTACAGTTATTTCATCTTTCAATGCAGTGGTATCATTAAAAGTTCAAAATTCATTGTTTAAATTTTGAACCAGCCTGGTGTGTTGACTTCATGGCTCCTATTGTACCATTTTGGGCCATAATAGGATGCCTAGGCCTGTTTTTATTTTTTTCGCCTGCCCGCTCCATTATTTTTCTAGAAAAATCCGTTAACCAAGAAATTAAATTAGTGTGGCCTCACTCAACAATAAAAATTGATGATGATTGAAAAATAGTTATGTTTCCTACTCTACAACTCTCTACAACTCTCCTTTGATTGGTTGTTGAGACCAGGTTTCATTGCAGTACTGTTTCACAACATGACACCTACTGAAGTATTTTGTACTTTGTAGTCGACCATGCAGAAAGTCTGTGTACTTTTCGTTGCATCAATATAGTTTTCTACATACATGTCTAATACCACCACTGATTTGCACAAACCTTGTTATTAACGTATTTTAACAGCTCACAAAGGCACTAAAGTCTGCTGTGGATGCTGACAAAGTTTCCTTGAGCCTTGCTGGTGGTTTGATAGTAAAGGCACTGAGAGTGTACGTCTTACAAGGTAGGTTAACTCTACTTTAGAGGACTGTCGTTTGTTTATTTGCCTGAGGCGTGGGGCACAATATCCATACAGAAATATGTGAAATACTTCAAAAACACACAAATGATAACTACCTACATTGTATATCCTACCATTAGACTAAGTTGGCATAATACTGGTCAGGAACAGACCAATTAGACTGCTGTGTTTTCATACTGCTATCATGTTTCATATTCCAGAATGTGCTCCTCCGATTCCTGAGCCACAGGGTAGTTACCAGTCTGTGATCATTGGAGTTTTAGTCCTGCTTGTCATCATCCTCCTCCTTCTTCTGCTTGCTTACTTCTGGAAAAGGTGAGGTTATGGAAAGAGTCAAGCATCAGAGTTTTTACCATGGTGTGCAGAGGGTTTGTTTTCTTGCCTGACTGGTGCTCTGTTCACAGAACATGTGAGAGAAGTAACTGTAGTCTGTTTACAGAAAATGTGAGAGAAGTAACTGTAGTCTGTTCACAGAAAATGTGAGAGAAGTAACTGTAGTCTGTTCACAGAAAATGTGAGAGAAGTAACTGTACTCTGTTCACAGCAAACATGAGAGAAGTAACAAATACTGTACTCTGTTGACAGAAAACGTGACAGAAGTAACTAGAACTCTGTTTACTGAGAGAATATTAAACTGGTTCTCTGTTGACAGAAAACGTGAGAGAAGTAACTGGTACTCCCAGATGCCAGCGCCGACGAGCCTGATGAACGAGCAGGGAGAGATGCTGTCCCCGGCGGAGGACCTGCTGGACCAGGAGATCACAGAGGAGGAGTTCCTGGACGACATCGAGGACGACTCCTTCCAACCAGGTGAGCTGGGGGATTGGATCATGCATGGGGCACCTATTGTCTGCTTATTTGTATTACAACATGGTCACATTCATCGTAGACCGTCGGATGATTTTGAGGTCGTAGGATTTTTAAGCAGCCTGTGTTAGAACCAATCACCACTAAGACTGCCTTTTTGGTAAAAAGACAGCGGAATGTTGAAGGATACATGACTCAAGAATGCCCACAGTTTCAAATTGTTTAATTTTTGATGTTCTATGCTTTCAGTAAGCCAACCAACCTTGGTGATGATGTCAGGGGTCGGTCCAAGCACTGGTGGAGGAACAAACATGCCTTGTTAACTGTGAATCAACAAAGAAGGAGGAGCAGCCCACAAGGTTTAAGCCACCATTGTTGCATGGAAGGGGATCGTTTTTCCTTGTCAGTTTTGTGTGTGCGTTGGATGGAGATCTAATTTTGCTGTGCTTGTCAATCATGTTCAAAGGAGAGGAAATTAATTTACTATCAGGGATTGGCCACGTTTTTTAAGTTTTCTGGCATTCTGTAGCTGTGTGCTGATAAATAAATGAAGTGACCAATCAAAGCAGATAGAGGACGAGAAAGTCATTTACTGAAGTCAGTCAAAAGGAGCTGAGAAACAGTTACTGCGGCTTCCATGGTAACCGTAGTCCATTGCAGCTGTCGATCATGTGCTATATACCTTGTTGAAGTTATAATTGTTGCAGGTTTTTAAGAGTAACAAGGATGACACCCAGGCTATTATAAGGGTTGTCCATCCAGAGTGGTTGGTATATTGATGACTATTGCAGGTAACTGAAGGCCTTCAAACTGTAGGACAGTTGAAAGGCACGTACAGACTGAAATAGAGTGTGCAAGTACATAACGCAAGAGACAAAAGTATGTAACCCTCTATTACATATACTAGGTAACTCGCTCTCTATTAGTCTAAAAGGTTCCCTGCATCATTCCAACCTCTAATTCTTCCATGTCAGTGTATGTAGTAACTGTATGTATAACAAGTGTTGTTGCAGCTTAGTAAATACTAACTTTGGTACTTGGCTGTACATATTTGATATCTACATATAACTGTTGTGGAGAGATTAACCAGACAATTTTTCTTGCCTGGACATGCAAAAAGAGTACAGATAGACGTGATGTTATGTAAAAGCCACAAGTACTGTAAGTGAAAAATGTAAGCTTTGTCAGGATATGTATGCAGTTTTAATATAACTTATTTTAGATTAGATGTCCCTTCTAGGTAGAAGGCAATACTTGAGGTGTAGAGGAAGAAAAGTAACAATGTACAATCAAATGCATAGAAGTGACATTATCAATAGATGCAAAGTGATTTAAAGGTCTACATATAATTTTGAATACTTGATTTTATACCACATATATATTAATTTTGCCATTGTGCTAAAAATAGAACATACGGTGCCAAAAGTTGACAGATGCTGATATGGTTTGCAGAAAAATATTAAGCAAACATTATTGTTATTTTAATGGCATCTACATGTACAGCCCTGCTTATTTCTTACCTCTGCAATTTTTATTTTGTCATTCTATTTTTGCTTTTATTTCTATTTATTTTTATTTATTTCACAGTTTTTAACATGACTTTAGTGGAATAAGGGTTGCAACAGCAGCTGTACTGACAGACTTGTCACACCTAACCTTCATCTAGCTACAAGCAAACTTAAAACTATCTAAGCGATGTTGCCCCTACTGTACTTGGTGGCAATGTTTCCACACACTTTCCAAATAGTTTGTATTTCTATACATTCCATTTTTGTGCAAGTCCTACTCTAAGTGTGCTTTTGTTGCTTTGCCTTATGGAGTGAAACCATTCCTGAGAGTGTTTAATGTGTCGTTTTATAAATATGAATTTTGTATTGTGACATGAAGCTGAGGGTGAGATATGTAAATATTTGTCATGTTGCTATTTTTGGCAATGCCTCAGGGGTGGAAGTATTTCTTATTCTTGGAGAAATCGTTATTTTTCTTTGTTAAATCTATACGTTGTGACATAAATACACTGCAAAGGTTAAGGGGTAAGTGTGCACATGCACGAGGTCAAAGGTGAATGCCTCTGACTTGTATGAACACAAGCTACATTCTGTAAGAGCCAGAATGCACAATGTTAGCAACATTCCTGTTGAAAGTGTAACACATCTATTGTATTACTCTTGATGTTATCATAAAATATATGACATGTGTTATTTCATTTATGATTTTCAAAGAACTCACTGATGGAAGTGAACTTTAGAATTTGGATTTTAGATTTCTTGAAAGTATCTAGAAATATACACCCATGAATTGTGCACTAGATTGGACACTGCATGAAAATTTATGCTTATGTCTTAATTAAAACGATTGTTACATTCCATGGAGAAATACCGTGAATTGTGCTCATTTTATCATCAGGAAAGCTACAATAAGGCTCAAGAAAAAATGTTGTGTTTCCAGTTACTTGACCTACCCTGGCAACACCTTCTTAGTGGTGAAGGTGCTGTGGGGGACGCTATGACAAATGTTTTTGTATTCTATAAAATGGTATATGAAGGGCCCTAATACCAGCCTCTGCTGTTGAATGCTCCATCTCTAAGCCATAGTGTAATCTGTGCACAGGTACTGATTGCTACTGTAGGTAGTTTAGATATGTAGATATTGTGTAGTTCTTCTGTAGCTATTGTTATTCAGCACCAGGGACAGATACCACTATTGCAGCGACCTTCCCTTGGTACTTACACAGGGCTCTTCTCCCACTAGTGTTCGGCACGTTGTATCTTAAAGCGCGCCGGCTATTCAGATTTGAGCCGCTGTCTACGAATTACGAAGGCCTGATTTCGCCTTTAAAAAACAGGAGCACGCAGGGCCCCATTCGAGTCAGTCACTGATGGCTGTGGCAGTTACAAAAGCACTGGAGTTGTCAAGAGACATGCTCTACAACGCCCTCTAACAACAGACATTATGCTGACAGATTTTCTAGTTTTAAAGAAATTACCCATGGTGTAATTTGTCAAATGCTTGGTAGCTCATCGGTCGTAGTCTTGGAAAGGGGGCGTTACTACGACCACAGGATCTACTACATCATGTAGTTCAGGATGAAACATAGCCAAATTCGCCAATTTAGTTTCACTCTTTCGTAATACTTCCGTGACCGATATGCATATTTACGCATCGAGAAAGTTAACATCTACGCTTTCATCTAACTTTCTCCGCAGAATGCCAGGACTTAATTTGTTGGCCTGGTGTACATACTCAGAGCGACATGTCGCTAGATCGTGCAAACAAACCTGCGACCTTTGCATTCCGGCGACAAACTTCTCTTATCAACCACATTAAAACACTAAACAAACATATATTAACAGACTTTCTTTTCTGGAGATCTGTAACGGTACAGACTGAAATTTTGAGTTCTGGTTTAAGTAGATAGCAATGCACATTTAGGCCTGGTAAGAGACAAGAGATCTCTAAGTCGTGATAGCCCTGGTCACCATACTGTTAAACATTAATCTTTCAGAACAAGATTGACTTCGCCAACAATACCGGCGTCATCCAGGCAACCGTTATTAGTTGAGCCTAGCCTGGAGGTTGTTTTCAGTGAAAGCTGCTCGGTGACTCCCCCGGGGGAAGAGACATGTTGGCGGCGGTGTTTTCTGTGGTCCTGGCCGTGTCGTGCGTGTATGCACAAGGTTGGTGAACTTCCTTTCAACGCTGTTATTATAATCTGTGCAGAGGGGGATTGGAAACTTCTCGTTGATCATTAACGACGGGAACCCCCACCCCACCCCCAGCCAGGCTGCAATAACATTTAGAGTTTGGGGGAAAGGGGTGTGTGTGTGTGTGTGTTCGTGCGTGCGTGCGTGTGCGTTTGTTTGTGTGAATTCCTAAGGATAGAGAAATTCAAAAATGTTTCTATCTGAAAATGAAATCAATGTATACCTATTTGAAGAATTGGTAGAAGACCCCAATCAAATCATTATAATCTAATATTTCTACTATTCATGATTCAATCATTGGAAGTGAATATACATGTAGGTCCCATGGCAATTGTTACAACCGTTACGATGTCTCGTCATGCAACGTCACCGCGCACGTTTGTTATTCCGTAGTCGAACGGCTGATTTGTGATGGTTGTTCATGTTAGTGACAGTGCAGGGTATAGAAGGTCAGGAGATCCAATGTTTGACAACTCGCCGCCGACGTCAGTCAGAGAGAACCGCCATTATTGTCCTACATGGATCACTGGCGGGACACATCGGTACTTTCTATCTCACAATGATGGTGGCATCAATAATTCATGCCTATGGTCAAAATAGAAGCTGCTGATTTCGTACGTCAGATCGGAAGATTCAAAAGACCCAAAAGACGACAGGCGAAGTAACCGTTGAACCGCCAAAATTGGAGTTGTGTGTCCCTTTGTTTTATAATTGGATATGATGTACAACGCCGAAGTACGATTTAAAAGGCAAAACACACAGAACGTAAAAAAAAAAAATTCTCTGAACTTCGTTGGCCGCTAAAAATCCCCAACACCGATCATACAGTGAAAACCGTACTCAGGTGCTTCCCGCAGGTTTTGTTACGATGGCCAGAAAGCCTGGAGGGAAGGGTATGTACATAACTCCGGCCGTGTGCTTAGCGGCAAAACATTCATCAAACATCGTGTGTTTGTGTGACCGGGACATGGTCCATGTTTCAATCAGTTGGAGGTTCCAGTGACAACTTAACAGTATGTTCACGTTTGGTGTGTTGTTGATTATTTCGCATTGGTTAGGGGTCGGAATTGCACTTTAAAAACCAATTTGTTATATTCCTGTATAGTATCTGTTCTTGTATTAGTCTATAATGTCTCTAATTTGAATGATTACAAAAAAGAACACCTCCCTCTATAACTTTATGTCTTAAATTGATACTTTCTTCATTAGATGTCTTTTAACAATTTAAAACCAGTACTCGCTTCCCTGGTCGTGTATTGCCCGGGTTAAGTCTTTTGGACTTTTACCCATGAACTTTGCATAACAGCGATGAAAGCCACCTCTTAGCTCTTTTCAAGATAACAATTTTGAACACGTACTTCCCAGGCTGACCTTCCCTGCGTACAAGGTCATGTACGGCAGGACGTCTATCCCTTCTTCTTCTTCTTCTTCAAAGTACAGGCTCATGACATCCCTATGACCTATGTGTACATGTAAGAACAGTTCTCGTTCCATGCACTGAACAGGTGGCTCATGTTACTGTTGAAGGCTGGTGAAGACCCGACCTTAGGGCATGGGGTATGTGGGACACGTCAGTCACACCCTGAGACGACAGAGACCAATGCAGCTAGATGTGTGAGTGTGGGTGTGTGTGTGGGGGGGTGCGTGCGTGCGTGTGTGTGTGTGGAAGAAATATGTTCTTCCAGATAATTAAGATTAAATACGACCCAACTCACGACTTATGTCTATTACTTTTACGTAGATGAACGTTTGCCGATTATCTTTACCCCAACTTTCGGCACTCTCATGGGAGGGGACGAGCTAGTATTCACAGCGCCAAATATCACGTCTAGCGGAGGACAAGTGTATTGCAGGTCAGTAGGCACGTTTGATGAGAAGCTAACCATAAGGCCGTATCCTACATGAAGAGAAATGTAATGAACAAAATTCTTCTTATCGTCCAACATAGATTACAATAGATAGGACATAACAATAAACAGAAAACTGGAACTACTTTTACCTCAAACACAGGTTCGGTGATGTTGACCAGGTGACTGTGGCAGGTGTGGTCGCACCTGACGGACTCACCAGGTGTGTGACACCTGTCCTGTATGAGATCGGCCGGGTGCCCCTCCAGGTGTCTGTTGACGGCGGTTCCACCTACGGTTATGGCGCCAACTTCACCGCAGGTGAAGCACTGGTATTATCAGTACAGGTCCTGTGTGTGTAGTCCAGTTCGAATCCCGGTTGTTGTCGCTCCCGACATGTGCGCTTCTTAAAAGGGTCGCAGTCTTCAGGACGGGACGTTAACGTAAGCCACTTTATATACAGATACATCATCAAAGCTTTACCCATCGATGAAAGAAATTTTTCAGATACTCATTTATATATGTCACTGACTTTTCCAAAAATTTCATACAGATTTAATACCGATTGCTTGATTTAGATTTTAAGTAATGTTCTACCTAGATGACTAACCTTCATTGGCAATAAAAATTATCTGTTTGTTAACGTCCCACCGTTTCCCTCCTACTTCAAGGTTCACCAGACCATGACCCTATTATCAATAAGCAACTTTCAGATGCACTTCACACGTTTATAACATCTACAAAAAGATTTACTTCCGGCTGATCCTCTGCTTTTCCATATTGTACTAAGCTCTAGTTTTTACGGTATTTACATGCCTTAGCACCTTTCTAATCTTAGCTATTTTTGTATATAGATGTACATGATTCTTAGCTTTTCTTGTTATTCAATTGTATTTGCTGTTTGACATGTATATTGTATGTATGTATGTATATTCTATGTATGTGGTCACGCCATCAGCTGATTAGCTGCCTTGTGTCCACATTGTATTGTCTTCGTCGCAATTTCAATAAATAAATAAATCTGTTTGTCCTTTTCAGTGCTTGGTTTGTCAGGTGTCAATCTAGTGAATATCAACTCCAACTGGCAGCGGCCCATCAAGTCGGCCACCTCCCCGCTGGACCTGCCGGCTTGGCGGGAACTCATCCGGGAACCGCTGACTATGACGTGGGACCGGGACAGTCTGGACTCGGCATCGGTCGATGTAGAGCTGTGGGGGTACAAGGTAGCCACTATACCACGCTTCTTCTAGCATCTTGATGGTATATTTTTATCTATTTACCTCAGGTTTCTGGCATATCAGTGACGCCAACGCTGTAAAAGCACTCAAACAAATCTGCCTCTATTCTACCTACCATAACGAAATCGTTTCTACTTTTCAGGAGGAAGGGAACATGGCGTCGTGGGACTTTATGTACACCGTCGCCAGCCAGGTCCGGAACACCGGCAGCTACACGTTCACTCCGGAGTCCAGACCGGACAGCGAGTACCATATAGGCTCCATAAGGGTCTCTGCGTACACCGGACAGGAGGGACAGGCGTGAGTACCATATCGGCTCCATAAGGGTTTCCGCGTACACCGAACGGGAAAGACAGACGTGAGTTTACTCTAACGTAAAACCCCAGAGCCGACCGTGTCCTCCCGACCTTCTTCAGACCATGGTCGGCGAGATTGCCAACTAGTCTTGTTTGTCGTCGATCTGCACCAGCTGACTTTTAAACCAGTGATTTATATCATTCAGGTACAGGTACACCAGATGCTCAGGTCCAGACCTGTACATGTACCTAAATAAAAGTACAGGTACAGGTATTTTGTTTGTTTAGTTTGTTTTCTTGTTTGTTTGTGGGGATGTTCTCGCGCACCTTGCTGATGCGTGGGGATGCGATGCCCGCACCTTGGCCTTGTAATTAGAGGAGGCATTTAACCAAGACCATTATCTTGCCATTTGGGTTTGTCCTGCGCAGGAAAGCCCAATGGACACCAGGTCGTCTGTCACTATTCTTCTCCTCTTCTTCTTTTCTCATCTGTTTACTGGAACGATTACTTTTTGTGACGGCTGTAGGAACGTTCGTGCTCTATGGAGCAGTGTCCACGCCTTGGCCTGGCAGTTGGAAGAGCTGTTCTACCGGGACCCTGTCTCCTGGTCCGCCCAGCGCTGCCAGGCCTGGCGGGAGGCGGAAAAGGAGCTGCCGAACTTCGTTCCCGACATGCCCCCCTGTCCATGTACCTTAAAACAGGCACTAGTGGACACCGGACGTTTTCAGGTGTGTTTATTTTGTTTCTCTCTTTCTTTCTTTGTTCAAAGATATTAGTTTGTTTTCATACGTTTATAAAAAGATCAGTCATCATTAGGATATTAATGATCACATAATTAATCAGGCAATATTACTGGACAAGACATTTTGAAGCAACAGACGTCGAATGCCATCCAACATTGTGCATCATATCCGAATTACTTATCTATAAATGAATAAGAAACATTGATGATCGTCCAGTTGGATCATCAAAGGTATGAGGTCGTGGAACTCTATTTTATCCGGCTTAAACCATGTATAACCTTTGCCACCACAGGCGGATCCTGGCTGTTCGTTGATGGCTGGTAGCACTTGTACTTACCACCCTGGCGCTGTGCACTGTGTACGGTCCGTTGCTGCAAGGTAAGTCGCGTTTCGACCATGCAAGTTTTGAATCGCTTACACATCTGTAACATTGCACAGATAAAGTATGAAGTATGTAAAAAAAAGCACTGACAAAAGTCCTTTTCTAAAAAAACACACACTCCGCAAACTTTCCAGGACTGTGATTTCCACCATTTTGTCACAGAAAACATTGACCTTAGAGAAACATACAGCTCCTCTTGAAAGTTTGGCATGATATGTTTTTGACCACCGCCGCATCCTGCAGCCCTGACGGTGCGGGACAGCAGTGCTGTTACGCCGCGGACGGGAGGGAGTTGTTCACCGGTGACACGGCCGGCGGTAGCACCCCAGACAGAGGACACGTGTTCGGAGCACCACCTTACAGGGTAAGTCGGTACTGCTCCTAGGTAGCTTCCTCTTGTATTTGGCATTGGGGAGACATAAGGCAGTGACTTTTCCCTTCCATTTGGGTCTTGAAAGGGGGACATCATTTTTTCATTTTTCTAATGTAGACTGTTACAATTCGTTCCCAGGTTCCGCCTAGAGTACCGTCCTTCTCTCATTGGCTACACGATGTGGTGACGTTTTACTACTGCTGCCTGTGGTCCGATAACTGTGACGTGTACTTCGAGCTGCGCCCAACTGACGACTGCAGCAGATACGTCCCGCCTAAGGCTGGTAGGAATTCCATAACCACAGACCACTAAAGGTCAGACACAGGAAGTTAGATCCCAGAAGCTGGTCGGGTGCCAGTGGGAAAATGCATACTCGTAAACATGTTAGGCACTGGAAGTTAGTTCCTAGCTGACAGGGAGCTAAAATGAAGTTGGCTGGGTGTACAGAACAGAGCAATTCATAATAACGACTAAGATTTAAACAAGAAGGTAGGCACTATGCTTCATAGAAAACCTAGAAAGACTCCGTGAAATATTTAGCCTTGCGATCTGTATATGAACTTTAGGCGCCATGTTTGGAGATCCTCACGTCATCACGCTGGACGGGAAGAGCTACACGTTCAACGGTAAGGGCGAGTACACACTACTGCAGGCTGATGACGTCAGGCTACGGATCCAGGCCAGGACGGCACAAGTGTCGAACGCGCAAGGTAAGGGAACGACTTTCATTCAACACATACTACACGCAAAAGTAAGCACACAGATACTATAACCTAGAGAGGCAAAAAGAGCGTATAGTCTTTAACTATATATTATGTTTCTACGTTGATGATATAAGAATCATCGTCAGCGATGTTGTGCTTTTGCCAGGCAACCCTGTACAGGCCACTGCCTGCACTTCTCTCGTAATGCGCGAGGGGGAGTCCGACACAGTAGAGGTCCGGCTGCCGAGTGCCCGAGATGTGGATGCTCCTCAGGTCCTGGTGAACGGCGAAGTGGTGAGCGGGACTCTAGTGTTGTCAGGTAAGGCCACGTTCACATATCTGTATTACTGACATTTGCTACTGTGTAATTTGTTTGTGTTTGTCTGTGTGTCCGTAGTACAATAGGGTTACGGGAAGTGATGGGAGAAATTATGTAAACGCAATATTGACAGGAAGGTGAATGGGGGGTCAGTGACAGTGGAGTATGTACATTATCAAGCATGGTTTGTTAAGGACTTCAACCCGTGAACCGGCTACCTCACTTCCTCGATCCGCTCAAGAAGAGTCAAACCGCAGAATTTATCGATCCGATCCCACACGGAAGAATGATTCTTCTAAGTTCAAACAAGGTTCAAACAAGGAGGGTTAACCTCCTGGATAATCTGATCGTGGTTTCCCGCTTTATCTTTTATTTCAGGTGTCTTTGTTATATCTAATTCTCCGTCCAACGTGACCGTGCACTTCCAGTCCGGTGTCGGGGTGGAGGCCCGGAGTGAGGGCGGCTTCCTGACCGCACTAGTGCTCGTCCCACCGAACCTCAAGGACAAGGTAGACCAATCAATCAATCAATCAATCAATCAATCTTATCCAAACAACTCGAATTGTGGATTGTCAAAAGTCTGAATTGTTTTGTTCTTGCAAGTTCGATTTATAAGGGATTCGGAATTCACCATTTCATCATCAAGTGTCTACTGTGGTTTCTGAAGTTCCCGTTCCTGTTAAAGTTACGTATTTCTCTCTTTAATAATATTTTTGTTTAGTGATGCCGTGGATTCAATCTATTTCTCTTGACTGCAGCACCACTGTGTACTGTTTTTTTAAATGCTGCAATAAAAATGTGTTTGCTCAGACGCAAGGCCTTTTGGGAACGTGGAACGACAATCCTGACGACGACTTCACAACGCCCTCTGGCGACACAGTTTCGAGTACTGCAGACCCGATGACTGTTTATAACGACTTTGGAGCATCGTGTAAGTCTTTAACTTCAAATATGTAGTTTTTTTCGTGTTGTACGTGTACTTTTTGTCGCATTAATAAAGCTTCCTATTTAATATTCATAACTGGGCTGAGATCAATCAATTAATGTGGAGCTCTGTTAAACACCCGGGGAATATGGACATTTCAACACTACATTTATTTCATACACCTTTAGAAGTTGTTGCACACCGAATATAAATGTAATATAAAAGTTGTGCACCTTTAATAGTAATGCCCATTTTACTCTTTTATGCTGTTTTCAACTTGGTAGACTAAAAAAAAACACTAAAATTTCGGACATACTAGTATTCATACATTCATTCTAGTATTCATACAAAGTTGTAACCTATTCTTCTGCTGTCTTTCCCCTCACATTTGCTTTCAAAAGGGGCGATCACAAGCGAGACGTCTCTCTTCGTCTACACCATCCAGGAAGAAGTCATGTACGCCGAAAAACATGACCCCAGCTTCACACCAATAGTGAACCCACCACCCTTGCCTGCAGAGTCCGCCGAGGGGCGCAAGATGGCGCAAATATGCGGAGATAACGACCAGTGCGTGTTTGATTTTACCGTCACAAGGAGCGAAGCCCTGGCAGCTAGCACTCGCTGGGCGTATGACTGGTATCAGGCCGTCAGTAAAGATACAAGGAAAGGTGTGCGTTGCTGTATTTTTTTTCGCTGTTGAATCGCTTATATATGCATTTCATCATAAAATTAAGTGAAATATAGTAAAGTACAATATCTCTTTCAGTTTTATAAACATGTAATGAGGATTTTTTTTATCCTCATCCTCTAGAGCCGCTGATCAGCCAACATTTTTACAGATACTTTTGTTGTCTGCAATTTACTAACGTTAACGTCAGATACGATGTCATGTTTCAGTGGCGAGTTGCCCGTACGTCCCTACACCCGAGCATGGCTCCAAAGTTGGGGGCCCGAGCTATGTGGAGAACGGCACGGTAACCACCGCGTGTAACCAGGGTTACGTGTCTCACCCCACACGCACCGTCACGTGCAAGGCGGACGGAACCTGGGACGGTGTACCTGGCACTTGTGTCGGTAGGGGGCGCTATGATCATTTCTCTGATCTTGTTTGTGAATACTGATTTGACTAAAAGGATAAAATCCTCTGAGGACCCCAAAACTGATGAAAACAAATCAATTATCCAAGGAAACAGCATTATGGTTGCTAACTTTTTAGGAAATGGTCGGAAATTGATGCGCGCATAGATGTCATCCATATAATCTTTATCTTTAGTAGCTCGAGAAAAGGCTCCACAATTCACATCTTATTCGCATTCGCTTTTGACCATACACTTTTCGTACAGCTTCCAGCGCTAGCACGGCTGCAGTTGCGGGAGGTGTGATAGGCGGCGTTGCTGTGCTGTGTGTTGTGATAGGACTGCTTGTTTGGAGGATGCGGGACGACAAAGAGTCAAAACGGTAAAGCACACCATCACTTACCGCAGGAATATTAGTTAGAATATTTGTATTTGTTGCAATGTAAAAAACAACAGCTATCGGTATGTCAGCATGTTGATAATAGCAGCATTCAGGACCAAGGACAGGACCAGACGTCATCTGGTAACGTTTGTTTGTTTCATTGTTTGAGCCTTTGTTTTTAAAGCTTCATGAAATACTCAAATAGAGCACGGTGGATGTCTTTCACAAACTTCTGAATATAAAGAAAAATGTGATTGTTGTACTTTGTATTGCTCT